TAGTGTTCATACATGGCAGTGTAAGGTCTATCTGCTTCCGCAGGTGTGATAGCAGTTAAGTCTTTAGCTTTTGATCCTACTAGTTCTTTCTGAAAGACTACTGCACCTACATGTGCATCTACTTTACTAGAGGAAGAGCCACACTGGGAGAGGACAAAGGTCCATTTAAGCCAGTAACTCCAACAGCAGCCATAAATGGATGCCTAGAGGTGAGTAAAATTGAGGCAAGCATACATGCTGCTTCCCTCACTGATTATTCCCACTTCCAACCTCATTATTTTCAGATTGTGTTAGTTACCTCTGTCTCCTGAAACCTCTCTTTTTTCATTTGAATGATAAAAAGATATTAAATATTTAAGATTTTACAGAGCAATTTGTTGTTGCCTTTCCTGTCTGCTGAATTGCAGACTACTGTTTCCTTTGTTCCTTCTCTTAATGCTTATATACATATGGAATCACCTCTTTTTACACTTGCTATTCCTTGCTTGCTAGTTGTTTCTGATTATATGCCGTATGCTTACTGATTCTTCCCACATACGCATTTTTATACTTATTCTAATGTACTATCCACATTTCCACATTCTGCATGCTTTCTTTTTGTGTTTGAGATCAATGAAGAAAAGCTCATGGACCAGCAAGTTGTTTTTTGCTGCACATCCTACTATTTCTCTGCATAAGAAAATTTTGGTTTTGGGGATTTGCTTCACTCCTTTAGTCCTTCAGACTGTCTTCCATTGAGACCTGGACTCTAGATTTATTGAAGGATGCCATAATGAAGCTCAGAGTCATTATGTTGCTGTTCTTCCCCCTTTTTTCCATAATAATGATTAACTTACCCAATTCCTGATCACCGCACCCAAGATGCCTTCTACCCTCACACTCTCCACAGATTCCTCTCTGTGACTATGAAGTCTAGAAGCACTTTCCCTCTGACTGCTTTCTTCACAACAAAATTTGGGAAGTTGCTGTAAAGATTTCACAGGTTTAAAAGAACTTAATTTCTATAACACAGGTTTCTCATCAGATGTTCCCCATTACCGCTAAGTCTCTTGCTTCTAACAGCCCTGCTCTCTTGTCACAAAAAAACCTCATTAAGCTTCCTGGCAGGTATCTCTAATAAAAGTCCATCATAACAAAATAGTTGCTTATATATTTTTTATTGTTGATAGAGTCTTTCAACAGATATATTTTCCTGTGCACTTTATAAACACGAGAACATCAACATGCATCTTTCACATGTAGGGCAACATTTCTGCTCTTTTTCTCTCTGTGTGTATCTACTGAAAAACATAAATAATAACTCTGTATCAATATTACTGCCATGGGAATTATCACAAGTCCCTGTCATGCCAATCAAGTCACAAGTTAAGCTTGTAACATTACTATATTAAGACTCCCAGCTTCTGTTTATTCTCCATAATTACAGCAAATGCACACAAATATGCACACGTGCATGCAGGCAGCTTCTTCCAAAACTGCTCCTGTCTTGTCACCCATGCGTGTCCACTGGCTGAAATTTCCCTGAAATAATGGGAATTTTTGAACTTTCTGGATGAGGTCAAAAGAGGGGAAAGGATTTGAATTAAAAGTAACAAGCTATAGAAAATTATGACACTGCAGGTATTTCATTTGAAATATGCCTGGCTCCTGAGGATTCAATGAATTTATAATGCTTGCTTCAGGTGCTTCTTATAGCACAAAATAATAAGAGAGGAAAGGAAGTATGGTCCTACATACCAGTGAAAATTTAAAGATTAATAAAAATACCCTACATAGATTCAATGCAGGTTTGGATGAAAAACAGAAAGAGTAATAGATTAATAAGGTTGTTCTGCACACAACTGGAACAGACAAGACTTAGAAATGAAATAGATTTAAGTCACATGCCTATGTTAAGTTTGTGAAACAAATCTACAAAAGGCAAAAATCAGTTATTTCACATACAATACTAGGTCTCTGGCTAATGTAACTTTAGTAAGGAAGCTAAATTAAATTTAAAAGAGAGAGAAAAATATACGGGTCACTTCACTAGAGTTTGATTTCCTGCTGGTTACTGATGTGGGTTATAATTTCAGAAAAGCACCTGTCACTGTACTCTGTCAGAACCATCACCATTTTTTAATGAAAATGCATACATTTATTTATTAGCAATGGAACATAGAGGGGAAAAAAAAAAAAAAAAAAAGATAGGAGGCATTTTTGGCTTAGATGTCCCAGGTGTGCTGCAGTCCTGCAACCATCAGCTCAGTTAGCTGTGGCTCCAGCCCAGCGGCAATGCCTGCTAAATACAGCCGTACCTCTTGGTGCTGACTCCTGCTAAAGGGAGACGTACATACTGCTGTGATGAAGTTTTGTTCTGCTGGGTATTGCTCATTTAAGCTTGAGAATTAATGATCTAATGTGCTATTGTGCAACAGAAAGGACAGAGAGATTTTGCACATGCTGGGCTAACCATGTTCGCAGAGACAGGCACTACAGGGAGCCATGAGTGCCTTTACTTTCAGCAGACCTCAGTTCAGCCTCACAGAGAAATTGATAGATCTGTCTGGGACCAAAGAAGAAAAGAAGAACAACTGACTTTCCCTCAGGAGAAGAAAATTTTCAGGACTCACAATGAATTTTGAGTTGCCACAGAGGAGACAGAAGAGAGGAAGGCTGCAAGCCTCCATTCAGGGGGAAGATTTGGGGATTTCTATGGATATATTTCTACTTCTTTAAAGAAAGGAGCTTCATTGAGAACTAAAGTGTTAAAGGGATTGATCTGTATTATAATATTAAGTCTACTTTATATGATTTTTAAATAGGCCACATTAACTCCATTTAAAGACAGACTAACACACAGTTAAGAGGTATCCTACTTAATATAAATCAGATAATTTGGGAGATAATTATTTGCCTGGGCTTCTTGACAGCAACCTGTTGAAATGGTTTCATGATGGTTGTACTTTTCAGTAAATATGTCTGTTTCCTATGGATAAATTTCAGACTACAAAAAAAAAGGGGGGTGTTTTGTTTTAGTTTGGGGTTTCATATTTTTGGTAGGGAGGGGAAAAAAAGTAAAGAACAAGGTTCTACCAAAAAATAGTTTTCATTATTCACTGAATAGGTGAGTTTATGAAAAGTATGCATGTTCATGGACAAAGCAAGGTGATTCTCTTGTGATGTAATTATAAGTTTTATAAGTAACTCCAGTACCTTCTGTTGATGTTCTGAGCATCATACAATGTACTCTACTATTATCTGTAATATGACCGTTTTTTCATTTACTGTTTGAGTGAAAACGTGGATTTTATCAGGTTATTGGAAATTCATATGTTGCAAAAAATCTGTTACAGGTGTAGGTTGTGACACAAGAAACTACACAGGTAAGAGTCACAAGGCTTAAATCACATATTGCTTCAGTTGCAAAACACAGATACTCCTGTTTTAAAGGGGGGGGGAAAGTGGCCTTCAACTTTGAGGAACAAAACTGGTAAAAGTTCTTGAAAGTCCAGGGCAACAAATGGTCAGCAACATCAGTGGCCCAGATAAGGACAAAGGGTAATGCTTTTTAACTAAAAGAGAGTAGATTTAGATTAGGTATAAGGAAGAAATTTTTTACAATTAGGGTGGTGAAACACTGGAACAGGTTACCCAGAACAGTGGTAGATGCCCCATCCCTGGAAATATTCAGGGCCAGGTTGGACAGGTGTCTGAGCAACCTGATCTAGTGGAAGATGTCCCTTCTCAGTGCAGGGTGGTTGGGCTAGAAGACCCCTTCCAACCCAAACCATTCTATGATTTTAAGAGAAATTCTCCATTCTCCAAATATTGTGTGAAAACAGATATTTAGAAGACTTTCAGTAATGCCACAATTGCATGGCTCTAGTAATTATATACCTTATTAGTTAATTGAAATTACACCTAGGCAAGATTTAAATGCCTTTTTATGTGCTACATTTTAAATCATTCACCAAGTATTTGATAACTCAGTGCTGCTTTTTAGAAAATAAGACAATTATTTAGGTATTTCTTACATTGGCGAAGGAGATTTAGACACATGGATCACAACATCTTGGAAGGTAAATTTTCCATTCATCCAATTTCTTAGATCATTTCAGTATGTATGCAGATGAAGAGAGAGAGCATGTACTTGCATACATATACCATGAGAAATAATTTATCTTATTGCCCCTAACCTGAAGAGCAGATCTTATAAACAGTGTGGCCTGTCCTAACATAAATTGCTGCAGCATCAAAGGCTAATATGATTTTTTTTAATAATGTAAACAAATAGAATTCATTGACTGATGGTAAAATATCACTTATGATTTTTTTTTCTTTTGGTATAGAAACCATAAGTCCATTTTATTTCTCCTTACTTTGAAAAATGAAAAAAAAAAAAAAACCTTTTATCTGAAGTAGGACAATGTTGTAGACATGAAATACAGTTTTAAGTAAAATTGTAACATGAAGAAATTTCTGAACATTATGTCATGAATATATATCACAGTTGTACTTTGCAAGGCCTGTGAACTTGTCAGGTTTTGTCTAAACTTGTCTCAGCCTGGCTAAAGCTTTGTTTTAGTTGACTGAGCTGCAGCAGATAAAGCAAGGAGGAATTTTTAACTAATTTGTTTTACTTTTGCTTATCCTTGATGAAATATGTGATGTAACTATATTTTTTATATAGTTAGCGGTAAGTAGTCACCCCCTATAGAATCAAATATTTATGGTCCTGGCATAATGGTGTAGCATAGAGGAGTACAGACAACATATGGTAGCAGAGGACTCAAAAGTGGGGTTATAGGATGCAATGCAGAGCAATGATGACATGGGATGATAAGAAAAGGGACTCAGGATAACATTTGAGACCGCAGAGCTGTAAACAATTGATCTATACTGAGTTGAAGAAATGCAGACCTGAGAAATGGGCAAAACCAGTTTTAGGTATAACAAAGGCAGCAAACAGCAAGTATCCAGCATAGTGAGACACTCCTTATTTTAAAATGTAGCTGTACCATGCAGCTGAAGATCAACAAAGAACAAGGTCTAAAAGCAGAGCAGAAAACATAAAAAAAAAGAAATACATGTTCAAAGTCTTCATTGTATGACATTTTAAAGACGCTTTGGTAATGTAACTATCATGTTGCAAATGTACATCACAGGTACACTGACGGTGGAGGCGGAGAATGCAGATCTGCCACAGAGATGTGTGTGTCTTCTAAGGCAAATGCTAGAGTCTGAATATAGCTGGAGAATGTAATTGCATCCACACTATTAATTTTACACATGTGTATAAATTCACTCATTTTGTCTACCATCTAATCTTGTCTAGTGTCTTCAAGATTTTTTTCTTACTGTTCTTTTCAACTTTATTTCCCTTGCATATCAACTTTCTCCCTACAGGCAGTATTCTTCTCTGTTATATCACTATATTGGACCATTGCATTAGCCTTTACACACATTACCTGGCCTACTTCAACCTTGAAAATTAGAAGACAATGCCTGTTTTAAATCCTAACTTTTGAGTTCTTTTGGACAAAGTTCAGGAAAGTTCAAAGTATGGAAAATGTGAGGAAAAGGTACATCCTTCATTAATCAAACATTTTTTTGTACTTAAAATATAATAGAAATGTTAGTAATACTCAGAGAGAGGGGAGAATAATTTAGAAAATCAAACCCAATCTATATATATGAGCAGAGATTTCTTAATATAGAGGACTGGCTAGGCAAATAAGATATATGTGCAAACATTAATTAGTGAGCTGTATGTCCTTAGTGAACACTTTCTGCAAAACAACAGAAAACTTAGTCCTGTCAATTAATTCTAGTTTAGACTGATGAGAAAGTTAAGCATTAAATGCTCATTCAATACTACATATGAAAAAGAATCTAAAAAGCATTTAATAGTCCTAATGACAGATGATTTGGGAGTTTGTTTTTACTACCATTTTCAGTGAATTACTTACAGCAGTTACAGTCTACAGCTTTGTTACAAAAATATGGACATCCTTAACCACTTTCATTTTAGGTCTAATTTTTTCCGCATCACCTAAACATTCTGTTTGACATTAGGCATGCTGTATTTAGCTAGATTTTTCAAAAGTGATAGAAATAGCATTACCTGAAGAATATGTATCATAATTATATACTGTAATTATATGTTTAGAAATAGCTTTAGGAAGTAATGTATGCAACCAGGCTGAGTTCATTGTCAAGTGACATATTTTTTCAGTAACCTGCCATGAGCACCAATCCATTTCATTCTCACTCTCCACTTTTTACAAGCTTTATACTGAAATGTATTTCCCAGTGAGATTCATATCTATCTGAGTGCTATTCATACTGTTATTCACTGTAAATATCTCCAGCAGCCCTATTAACTTTAATGCATTAGCTCGTCTTCTATTTATTGCAACTTAATGAATGCATAATAATTTTAGTTTAGGACACCATTAGCAGGATAGATTTTCCAAGCTCCTGTAGCTCAGCAGCTGTACTACCATAAATTACCACAAAGCTACGTGCTCTTTTTATGATGGTCATAAGACAAAATTATTAGAAAACCATTTTTCTATTCTCCTGCAGACTTGGCATTCAGAAAGGCTACAGGTTTAGTAAAAGCATCATGTCTGTGTGGTATAATCAGCATATGTTCCACAAGGAACCAGGCTTTAAGCAGAAATGAGGATATAAAGCCAGACCCTACAGTGTTTTTTGAGGTAGGGCAAGAAGACAAGAACACAGAGGATATACCATCATACACCAGAGAGCTGCTTGTGTCTGACAGTTGGAACTATTAATTTACATTCAATTCATAACAGGAGATCTTTCCCTTCCCTATTATTTGGAACAACACTCAATAAAAATGAACCATATCTTTGAGGGCTTGTTGAGGGCCTAAGTGAGCAAATGAAATATATTTGTGTCACTCACTTCACATCTATAGAGATAAAGCAATGAAACAGAGATGGCTGAGTGGATTTCAGGGAAATTTTGTCGTATAAAATGTTTTCCGAATCCCTCCCACACTTGAAAGCAATGCTTGAACCCCTGGAGGGCCGTTTAAGTAGCTGTAATTTGCACGTGAGTAACTCATGGAAATCCTACATATAAAGTGTTAGTATGACAAACAAATCAGCTTGCTTTGATCCAGTTTCAGACTTTTAAAAATACTAATCCAGCTGCAAGTTCCAGATTATAAATCCTACAGGCATCAAAATAAATTAAAACAGAGATACCCAAGAAAGACCATCACTTCCTACTGTGAAATATATGCTGAGCACTAGATGACTATTTATGGTTTAACAACTTGTGCTATATTTGGAAGTATAAATACAAATTACGTGAAAAATTGTATTAGTTTTACATATTCATCAAAGTAAAACTAACTATCTGGAGCCGAAGCCCAGTTACACTGAAGAAAGGTTTCTGGAGTTGCATACTCACTCGCTGACGAAGAAAGTTACCGTTACAGACCAGAGAGAAAAATTCAACGTGTCTACAACACAGTTAATTCTGTCAGTAAAATTACTAATCTTATTTAATCTTTCAGTGTTTCAGTTCTTTCATTGACCTGTTTGAAATACATTGCAAGATAAAGCCAAATCTAAAGTCTTCAAGTTTTCACATTTTTCAGTTCTTCCTTTGTCTCTGTGTGGCTGATGAGAAATGTTTCTTAGAATTCCCTGTTAGAGCTCAATGTACCCACACAACATTTGTGATCTGGAATGTCTGCCTTAGGCATGATTCTTGAACCATGCTATTTTACGTGTGTGTAAAACCTTGCAATGTCTGAAATAAGCTCAATTATTTCAAGATTTTGGTAGCTATCATTATATCAAAATATCCTGAAAATGTTCATTTGTACCCCTTTTTTCTAAACTGCCAGTGCAGGACTGAAACGTGCAAACTTCTCTGGAATCCCTGGCACACGTCAGCTTGATGTGCTACAGGTGACAGAGGAGACAGCCTGCCTGCCATCGAACAGATGTTTCTTTTGCATTACTGTTTGTTGCAATAAACTGTGATTGATGGAACAAGAATGCAACTGTGAGGAGTCTCACATTTACTTAAGGTTATTACATTCTGTCATAGGCTAAATGTATACACTTAATGCACTCTTACACCCTGCTCCAAAAATTATCCTTCATAACCAGGGCTAAGTTTAGCTTCTTTCCTGTTAGCTGGATTAAGCTTTTCTGGATCAGGAACTCCTCACCTCCATAGGACCATGAACTAACAGTTTGAAACTTCATGTATTTCTCCAGAAATCACAGGGAGAGACACAAGGACATATCATACCTTCTATTCTCAATCAGAAATCCTATGGGAATCACTACATTCAGTTCTGACTAAAAATCCACGTGTGAGCAGTTATTTTAAGTCTCTTTGACTTGCATTTCGCATTGAACACAGTGTGTTAGCAGCTGAAAACTCTTGCATGTGACTCACCTAAATGACACATACATATTCCACATTACATTTAGTGAGATGTGCCAAGCTGCATGGAGCAGATTTCCAAGAACCATCTTTCAGGGCTGGTAGCTTTGCACTGCATGTAATCGGATTTTCTTTGTATGGCATACAATGATGGTAATGACATCATCACAGGTGTGCTAAATCAGGGGTGAGCCATCTTGGGAGCTTTTTAAAATAACACTTTCTCAAGGTAACAGTACCTTCCAAACATGCCAAACAAGGGTTAAACTGTATTCTATTCTTTGCATTTTTGTGTATATATATCTCTATATATCATAGAATCATAGAATCATAGAATGTTTTAGGGACCCCTAGAGGTCATCTAGTCCAACCCCCCTGCAGTCCTGCAGTGAGCAGGGACACCGCTAACTAGATCAGGTTGCTCAGAGCCCCGTCCAACTTGGCCTTGAATGCTTCCAGGGATGGGGCCTCCACTAC